TCTATCCCTCTCTCTTCCTCTCTGTAAAAAATCAATAAAATATATTTAAAAAAAAGAATAATGGTTTGGGTCAATTTCTAGGTTTTCTTTTTTGTTCCATTGGACTGTATGTCTATTCTTGCAACAGTACCAGTAGTTTTGAGAACAGAGACTTTGTAATATAGCTTGATATCTAGTATTGAGATTCCTTCAACTTTGTTCTTCTTTCTCAGGATTACTGTAGCTATTCAGGGTCTTTCTTTATTCCAAATGAATTTTTGGAGAGTTTGTTCTAAGTCTGTCAAATATGCCATTGGTATTTTAATAGAGATTGCATTGAATCTATAAATTGCTTTGGGTAGTATGGACATTTTAATGATTTTGATTCTACTAATCCATAAACACAGTATATTTTTCCATTTGTTTAGGTCTTTCTCTATCTCTTTTTTCAATGCCTTATTGTTTTCCAAGTACAGTTCTTTCACCTCCCTAGTTAAGTTTATTCCTAGGTATCTTAATTTTTATGTTGCAATGGTAAATGGCATCTTTTTGTTTGTTTCTTTATTTTTTAGTTTTTCTTTCTGTGAGTTCATTATTGGTGTATAAAAAGCCATGCTTCTGGGTGTTAATTTTGTATCCTGCTACATTGCTGAATTCATTTATTAAGTCTAGTAGTTTTTTTATGTTGTCTTCAGGGTTTTCTATGTACAATATCATGTCCTCTGCGAATAATGACAATTTTACTTCTTTTCCAATTTGGATGCTATTTATTTCTTCTTGTCTGATCGCTATGGCTCGCACTTCTAGTACTATGCCAATCAGGAGTGGTGAAAGACATCATCCCTCTCTTGTTTCTGTTCTTAGGGGAAATGGTTTTAGTTTTTGCCCATTGAGTATGATGTTGGCTGTAGGTTTGTGATATAAGGCTTTTATTCTGTTGAGGTATGATCCCTCTATTCTCACTTTGTTGAGAGTTTTTATCAAGAACAGGTTTTGGAATTTGTAGAATGCTTTTTCTGCACCAATTAATATAATAATGTGATTTATGGCTCTCTACAATTAATATAGTTTATGTGATGTATAATGTGTATTTATTTGCAGATATTGTACCAGCCTTGTATCCCCAGAATATTATATAAATCCTACATGGTCATGGTGTACAATCTTTCCAATGTAATGCTAGATCCAATTTGCTAGAATTTTGTTGAGCATTTTAGCATCTATGTTCATCAGGGATATTGGCTTGTAATTCTCTCTCTTTGTAGTGTCTGTATCAAGTTTTGGGATTAGGATAATACTGGCTTCATAGAAAGAACTTGAAAGTGTTGCCGAGACCGGTTTGGCTCAATGGATAGAGTGTCGGCTTGGGGACTGAAAGGTCCCGGGTTCGATTCTGGTCAAGGGCATGCACCTTGGTTGCAGGCATATCCCCAGTAGGGGGTGTGCAAGAGGCAGCTGATCAATGACTCTCTCACATCGATGTTTCTAACTCTCTATCTCTCTCCCTTCCTCTCTGTACAAAATCAATAAAATATATATATTTTTAAAAGTGTGCCTTCATCTTGAATTTTTTGGAATAGTCTATTTCAGTTTTTCTTTAAATTGTTGGTAAAACTCCCCTGTGAAGTTGTCCAGGGCTTTTGTTTGCTGGAAGTTTTTTTTATTACTGCTTCAATTTCCTCCATAGTTATCAGCCTATTCAGATTTTTTTTTTATATTCTTCCTAATTGAGTTTTGGAATAATGTATTTTTCTAGGAATATTTTCATTTTTTTAGGTTGACTACTTTGTTGAAATAGAGTTGTTCATAGTATTTACTTACAATCCTTTGTATTTCTGTGATGTCTGTTGTTACTTCATCTCTTTCGTTTCTGATTTTGTTTGATTTCTCTCTTTTTGCTTCTTGGTGACCCTAGCTTGAGGTTCATCAATATTGTTTATCTTTTCAAAGAATCCAGCTCTTGATTTTATTGATTTTTTGTATTGTTTTTTGTTTAGTTTGTTTGTGGGGTTTTTTTTGTTTGTTTGTGTGGAGTTTTATTGTGGGTGTTGTGTTTTTGTTGTTGTTTGTGTGTGTGTGTGTGTGTGTGTGTGTGTGTGTGTGTTTTATTTTTTGGTCTCTGTCATTTATTTACCCTCTGATCTTTATTATTTATGCCATTGTGGTCTGATAAATAATAGATTATTTTTATTTCAATTGTCTTGAATTGTAAAGACTTAGCTTGTGTCCTACCATATGGTTTGTCTTTGAAGATGTCCCTTTCTTTTGCTTACTCTGGGTTTTCTTGTTGCTCTCTTTCTAATTTCTTAAGGTATAGAATTAGATAATGTATTACCAGGTTTGTTGTTTGTTTGTTTGTTTGTTTGTTTGTTTGTTTTGAGGTAGGCCTAAAATGCTATGAACTTCTCTCTCAGGACTGCTTTTTTTGGGTCCCATAGATTATGAATTGTTGTGGGGGTTCTGTGGTGGGGCTCTTATAGACAGCATATATATGGATCATGTTTTCTCATCCATTCAGACACTCAATGTCTTTTAATTGGAGCATTGTTGTGCTTTCATTTTCATTTGTTTCCATTTTCTTTGTTTTTAGCTTGTTTGTTTGTTTGTTTGTTTTGTTTTGTTTTCAGCAACTCTGGAGTACAATGGATAAGCCTCACCCTGGGAAAACCACTTTCGTGATCACAGTATCTTCCCTGCCAGGTAAATGTCCAAGTACGTTTTTATTTCTTCTTTGATCACTTTGGTAACCCACTCATTCTTTAATAATCTGCTATTTAGCCTCCAAGTGTTTGATTTTTTATTGTTTTTATTGTAGTTGATTTCTAATGTTTTACCATGTGGTCTGTCTTTGAAAATGCCCCATGTAAACTTGAGAAGAATATATCTTCCGTAGCTTTGGGGTGAAATGTTCTGAAGATGTAAACTGAGTTAACCTGATCTAGTGAGTTGTTTAGGATTGCAGTTTCTTTGTTGATTTTTTGTCCGAAAGATTTATCTAGTGATGTAAATGGGATGTTAAAGTCCCCTACTACAATTGTATTGCTGTTGATCTCTCCCAAAAGTTGTTGTTGTTGTTGTTGTTGTTGTTGTGTGTGTGTGAATGTATTTGGGTGCTCCTGCATTGGTTGCATATATGTTTACCAGAGTTATATCCTCTTCTTATATTGGTCCCTTAAGTAATATGATGCAGCCTTCCTTGACTCTTTTTATGGACTTCACTTTGAGGTCTATTTTGTCAGAATTCACTTTTAGTCTGTGTGAGTCCCCTGTCCTATGGTGGGGCTCTTATAGACAGCATATATATGGATCATGTTTTCTCATTCATTCAGCCACTCAATGTCTTTTAATTGGAGCATTTAATCCATTTACACTTAAGATTATTATTGACTAGAAGCTCGCTGCACAAAATTCATTAAGGAGTAGGCCCTCACAGCCCTGGCTGCCTCACGGCCTTGTGGCCCAACCCCCAACCCACTGGTCATTCCAGAAGGTTGTTCCAGAAGATTGTTCTAGAAGGTCATTTTCTCCAGCCTAATTAACATATTAGCTCTTTATTATATAGGACTAGAGGCCTGATGCATAAAATTCATGCACAGGGGTGTGTGTCCCTCAGCACAGCCTGCACCTTCTCTTATCTGGGGCTCCTCAATAGATGTCCGGCTGCCAGTAGGATTGGGCCTAAATGGGCAGTAGAAGATCCCTCTCTCAATCCAGGACTGCTAGCTCCCCACTGCTCTCCTGCCTGCCTTCCTAATTGTCTTTAACTGTTTCTGCCTGCCAGCCTGATCATCCCCTAACAACTCCCTTGCCAGCCTGGTTGATACCTAACTAATCCACTGCCAACCTGATTGCCCCTAACTGCCCTCCCCTGCAGGCCTGGTCACCCCTAGCTGCTCTTCCTTGAAGGCCTGGTCACCCTGAACTGCCCTCCCCTGTAGGCCTGGTCTCCCTCAACTACCCTCTCCTGCAGGACTGCCACCTCCCCCCCCCAACTGCTCTCCTCTGTAAGCCTGGGTCCCTTCCAACTGCCCTTTCCTGCAGACCTAGTCACCCCCAACTTCCCTCCTCTGCCAGCCTGGTCATTGCTAACTGCCCTCCCCTACAAGTTTGATTGCCCCCAACTGCCCTCCCTTGCAGCCTGGTCTCTCCAAACTACCCTCCCCTGCTGACCATCTCATGGCAACCATATTGTATCCACATGGGGGCAGAATCTTTGACCACATGGGGGCAGTCATCTTGTGTGTTGGAGTGATGGTCAATTTGCATATCATTATTTTTTATTAGATAGGATAGAGGCTTGGTTCATGGGTGGGGGCCTGCTGGTTTGCCCTGAAAGGTGTCCCAGATCAAGGTAGGGTTCCCTTGGGGCATGGGGTGGCCTGAGTGAGGGGCCTGTTGTGGTTTTCAGGCTGGCCACACACCCTGGTGACCCAAGCAGAGGCCCTGGGATCTAGGATTTATTTATCTTCCATAATTGAAAATTTGTAGCCTTGAGAGGAGCCAAGCTTCCTGATTGCTCTCTGGCTACAGCCATTTTTGTTGGGATTTATTTATCTTCTATGTCTGTAACTTTGTAGCCTTAAGTGGAGACAAAGGCAGGCCACGCTGTTTAGGAAGCTTGGTTTCCTTCATTGCTGGGAGCAACTCAAGCCTACTGTTCTCTGCAGCTCTGTGGCTCCCATCATTTTGGTTGGGATTTATTTATCTTCTATAATTGAAACTTTGTAGACTTGAGTGGAGGTCTGGCTGGCCAGGATGTGTGGAAAGCTTGGCTTCCCCCATTGCTAGGGAAACCTATGCTTCATGCTCCCTCTGTGACCCCAGCCATCTTGGTTGGGTTAATTTGCATACTAGCTCCTGATTGACTGCTGGCTGTGGCTTGTGGGTATAGCAGAGTGATGGTTAATTTGCATATTATTATTTTATTAGATAAGTACTTGTTTTTAGCCATTTTTATTCTTTATGCCTGTGTTCCTTCTTCCCTTTCTATTTTTAATTTTTATAATAGTCCCTTTACATTTCAAAATATGGAACATTTCACTAATTTGTGTGTCATCCTTGTACAGGGGCTATGCTAATCTTCTCTGTATCATTCCAATTGTAGTGAGCACTGGCTTTTCTTATTGTTCTCTTTCTTAGCTTGTAGATGTAGGGTTAGATAGTGTATTCATTATTTTTCTTGATTTTTGAGATAGGCCTGTAATGTTATGAATTTCCCTCTCAGTACTGCTTTCACTGTGTCTCACAGATTTAGAGTTGTTGTATGTTCATTTTTGTTTGTTTCCAGGAATGCTTTGATTTATGTTTTGATCTTATTGATAATGAATTCATTGTTTAATCACAATCTAGTTACTCTCCATGTGTGAATTTTTTAGGTTATTTTTACTGTACTTGATTTCTAGTTTCATACCATTATTGATGCTTGATATATAATTTAAATTTTCTTGAATTTTTTAAGACTTATTTTGTGTCTGAGCATGTGGTCTATACTTGAGAATGATCCATGTGTACTTGAGAAGAATGTGTATTCTGCTTCTTTGGGATGAAATGATCTGTTAATATCCATGAAATCTCTTTGATTTAGTGTATCATTAATGCCACTGTTTTCTTATTTATTTTTTATTTAGAATGTATCCATTGGTTCCAGTGGGGTGTTAAAGTCCCCTATTATGACTATATTGCTATTAACCTTTCCCTTATGTGCATATAAGTTTATCAGGATTGTAACCTCTTGTTGGAATGATTCCTTTTCTCTTATGTAGTGACCTTCCTTGGCTCTTGTTTTGACCTTTGTTTTGAAGTCTATTTTGTCAGATATGAGTTTTGCTACCCCAACTTTTATGGTTCATTTCCTTTGGCATGTAATATTTTTTTTTTTACATCCCTTAACTTTCAGTCTGTCTGAATATTTTGTTCCGAGGTTGGTTTCTTGTAGATAGCATATATATGCTTCATATTTTCTAATTCATTCAGCTACCTATGTCTTTTGATTGGAGCATTTAATCTACTTCCATTTAAGGTTATTATTGATAGATACTTATTTACTGCCAATATTTTTTATAAATGTTTTTCTCTCTCTCTTTCTTTATTCTTCTTAAAACACACCTTTTAACATTTTCTACAATGCTTTTTGGTAATAATGTACTCCTTTAACATTTTTTTTTTTAAATCTGGGAATCTCTTTATTTTATCTTCAATTTTAAATAATGGCCTTGCTGTATAGTGTAGTCTTGGGTTTATATCCTTGTTTTTCACTACTTTGAATACTTTGTGTTGCTCCCTTTTGGCCTGCAGTGTTTCCATTGAGGAATAAGCTGACAATCTAATGGGTAACTTTCTGTCTCTCTCTTCCTGCCTTTAATATTCTTTCTTTGAGAGATAAAGGAAGACATAAACAGATGGAAGAACATATCCTGTTTATGAATTGGTAGAATCAACATTATTAAAATGTACTTACTACCCAAAGTAATCTATAGATTCAATGCACTCCCCATTAAAATACCCATGACATATCTCACAGAACTAGAACAAACTCTCCAAAAATTCATATGGAATAAAAAAAAAATACCCCAAATAACTGCAGAAATCCTGAAAAAGAAGTACAAAGTAGGAGGGATCTTAATACCAGATTTCAAGTTGTATTACAAAGCCACTGTTCTCAAAAATGTCTGATACTGGCATAAGAACAGACATATTGACCAATGCTATAGAATAGAGAGCCCAGATATCGACCCAAACCACTATGCTCAATTAATATTTGACAAAGGAGGCAAGAGCATACAATGGAGACAAGACAGTCTCTTCAATAAATGGTGTTGGGAAAATTGGACAGATACATGGGGGGAAAAATGAAACTAGAACACCAACTTACACCATACACAAAAATAAACTCAAAATGGATAAAGGACTTAAATGTAAGATGGGAAACCATAAAAATATTAGAGTAATCCACAGGCAGCAAAATACCAGACATATGCCAAAGCAATAACTTTACTGATACAGCTCCTAGTGCAATGGAAATTAAAGGGAAAATGAACAAATGGGACTACATCAAAATTAAAAGCTTCTGCACAGCAAAAGAAACCTTCAACAAAACAACAAGAAAGCCCACTGCATAAGAGAACACATTTGCCAATGCTACCACTTATAAGAGCTTAATCTCTAACATTTACAGGGAATTCATACAACTTAACAAAAAGTTAAACAACCCAATAAAAAAATGGGCAATAGACCTAAATAGATACTTCTAGAAAGAAGACACAAGGAAGGCCGAAAGACATATGAAAACATGCTCAAAATCATTAATCATCTGAGACATGCAAATCAAAATGACAATGCAGTATCATCTCACACCTGTCAGAATGACTATCATCAACAAATCAACAAACGACAAGTGCTGGCACGGATGCGGAGAAAATGGATTGCTGGTGGGAATGCAGACTGGTGCAGCCACTGTGGAGAACAGTATGGAGTTTTCTCAAAAAACTAAAAGTGGAACTCCCATTTGATCTAGTGATCCCACTTCTAGGAATATATCCCAAGAAACTAGAAACACCAATCAGAAAGGATATATGCACCCCTATGTTCCTAGCAGCACAATTAACCACTCCTAAGATTTGGAAAGAGCCTAAGTTTCCTTCAGCAGATGAGTGGATTAAAAAACTGTGGTACATCTACACAATGGAATACTATTCTGTAGTAGGAGAAAAAAAAAGGGGGGGAATTCTTACCATTTACAACAGCATGGATGGAACTGGAGAGCATTATGCTAAGTGAAATAAGCCAGTCAGTGAAAATTAAAAATCACATAATCTCATTAATTTTGGGGTTATAATGAACAACATAAACTGATAAACAAAAATAGATCCAGACATGGAGAAACATCAATGAAATGCTCAAACCTCAGAGGAAAGGTAGGGGAGGGAAGGGGTAAGGAGTAGAGACCAACCAAAGGACATGTATGCATGCATATAAGGCTAACAAATGGAGACAGACAATAGGGTGGTGAGGGCATGAGTTGGGGGCTTGGGAAAGGGATAATGGGGGATAAAAACACTTATGTAATACCTTAATCAATAAAGAAAAAATATTCTTTCTTTGTATTTTATTCTTGTCATTTTAATTATGATGTATCTGAACATGGAGCTCTTTGAATGGAATTCTCTGCTTCTTAAAGTTCTGTGGCTTTTTCCTTTACCAGGTTAGGAACATTTTCTGTTGTTATTTCTTTAAACAGGTTGTCTATTCATTGCTCATTTTCTCCTCCTTCTGGTTTCTTTATGACTCCAATGTTGTCACCTTTCATGGTGTCCCAAAGTTCCTTTAAATTATCCTCCTGCTTTTTATTTCTTTCTTATTTCTTTGTGCACTATTTGAGTATTTTTTGTAGCTTATCTTCCAAATCACTGATTTAATCTTCATTCAATCTGTTTTATTCCTTTCAGTGTATTCTTGATGTCAAGTATTTTATTCTTCATTTCTAACTGATTCTTATCTATTGTTTCTATTTTGTTTCATGCTGTTACAGTTTCCACTGGGTTTCTTAAATATCGATATATCACTAAGTTCCTAGAGCATCCAAATATTACTTTGAATTCTATATCTGATAAATTGCTTTCCTCTATTTTGTTTGGCTCCCTTTCCAGAATTTCCTCCATTTCTTTCATTTGGGAGTTGTTTCTTTGTCTCTCCACTTTGTATTTGTATTAAGCTATTATATAAAACTGTTATGTCTCCAAATCTTCGTAGGTTGGCCTTATGTAGTAAGTATTCTGTGGAACAAAATGGCAGAATCTCTTTGATCTCCTGTGCTAGGTGATCTAGGAATGTTCCTTGTGTGATTTATTTTGGCTCTCTTGTAATTGGGTCTTGAATGTTGTCCCATTCGTGGGTGGAATCTCCTCTCAGACAGCTGGTGCACTATAAAACTCATCCCCAAATACATCATGCGAGCTGTGTTCAGAGGCTGACAGAACAAAACAAAGCAAGAAACAAAACAAAAACATATACAAGCAACCACAATAGAAGAAAGACTTAGGAAAGATAAAAGAAAATAAGAATAATAGATGAAAAGGAAAAAAAAATCAAGGAGAATAACAGGGAAGAAAAAGCCATATGAAAGGGCAGAGGTGAAAGAGAAAAATAAGAATAAAGAATTGGAAAAGGAAAATGGTATAAAATAAAAGAGAAAGACAAAATTATGATAAAGAAAATAAGAGAAAGCATAAAGACAAAAAATATAAGAAAAGAAAGCAGGAGAAAGAATAAAAAATAGATTAAGTAAAGGGATGAGAGACAAGCTGGTGATGCTCAGTGGTTGAGTGTTGACCCATGAACTAGGAGGTCATGGTCACTGTTTGATTCCCAGACGGGGCACAATCCTGGGTTTCAGGCTCAATCCCTAATAGGAGAACAATGGTTCTCTCTCATTATTGATGTTTCTAACTCTCTCCTTCACTCTTTCTGAAATCATTAAAAAGAAAATAAAAATAAGATATATGAAAGAAAAAGATAAGCTACAAATATAACAAATCGATACAGAAGAAAGATAAAGAAGATAAACAAGGGGGAAAAAGTGAAGTGGATTTGTCTCAGAATAAAATGTCTCCTGGAAGCTTCCTCTCAACCATGCTCATCTGATAATTGAGGCTAATTTTTTTTTTTTTTTTTTTTTTTTTTTTTTTTTTTTTTTTTTTTTTTGTCTGCCAATTCTGGGCCTTCCACTTCAAAAACTTTCCTCCATTGGCTCTTAATAACCTGTTTGAAGCTTCAGGTGATCCACAGTTTATGTCTGTCTCCACAGGACTTGGAGACATATGAGAAGGGCCAAGCTGTACTCAGTTTGATAGCAGCACAGGTTCTTAATCACTCAAATGTCTGTTTCTGAAAGAGCTTTAGATAGAATCAAGGATATAGTCATCTGGATCTCTCTTGAGGGGAAAGTCCATTCATATTTCAAGGCAAGTGGTGGGTGTATTTTTCCATCCCAGAGCTACTCCTCTGAGAGTATCCAATAATATTGCCCATGCCTTGGCTAGGTGAAGATCCTTGTATGCAGTCCAGTGGTAATAGCTGGAAATCAGGAGTTTCTGTCAGCTCTTCTATGAGGGGGAAGCACCAGTCAG